CGAGCCCCGGGCCCGTGGGGGTTGACTCCGCCGCGGTCGGAGTAGCCGGAGAGGAGGGCTGACGCTGGGCTGGAAACAGCGGATGGGCCCCCTAAAATCCTGAACGAGGTGTCACCACTGGTGACAACAGCTGTCCCCAGGAGTTTACCTTTGAGAAAACCTTAAAGAGAGCAGTCATTTTCGAAATTTGCTGCGAGGTCACAGACCGCAGAAGCACCTAGGTGGATTCCTAGCTCCTTTTGTCGGGATCACAGCGGGCATGGGGTGTGGGGGTGGGTCAGCGAGGTGTAGGTCTAACCAGCTCTCTAGGTGCTTCTGCCGTCCGCTTCAGTTTTTGAGACTCTGGTCATGTTTTGCCAAGGAACAGGAGAGAGAAATCCCGCTGAATCAAGGAAGCACGTTTCTTAGACCCTTTGCTGCTCAAAATGTGGTCCAGGGCCCAGCCGCATAGGCATCACCTGGGAGCTTGTAAGAACTGCAGCATCTCACGCCCCGCCCCCGACCTACTGAGTCTGATTCTGCATTTCAACTAGATCCGTGGGTAATTCTCTGGCACATTCAAGTTTGAGAAGCATCTTATTAGAATAAATGCAGTCTGTGGTTAAAAATAGGGTCTTAAACATGTACCAACAGAATCTTCTTACACTTATTTATATCCTATGTCCCCATCAGAAAAAGGGATTAAGGGAAGCACTGTAATTGAACATGAATTATGCTCCGAGCTTCCTGACAATAGAAGTGAACCCAGCTGGCGGAAAATATATGAGTTCAGGAAACACACACACACACACACACACACACACACTTTGTCCTGGTACTGAGTTCTAGTAAGATTTGTGTCACATAAAGGAACACTGGAAAACAGTGGATGGTACTAGCCAAGACACTTTTGCAAAAGATGCAGAAATGTTTTTCATGTGGGTAACCCACCTGGAGTTGATTCATGAAGAGCCACTTAACATTCTACGGAGGTGCCAGCTCTGTTCTAGGAACTGATGATGCAGTAGTGAACAAAACTGAGATTGTCTTCATAGAGCTTACGTCCTGGTCCGGGCAGAAAACAAGCCCAACATCGAAATCTATATATATTGTCAGTGCTATGGAGAAAAATAAAGGAAGTTATAGGGGTAAAGAGTTGTTGAATTTTCTTTTTCATTTTCCCTTTAGGATGAAATTTTTATTTTGTTTACGATGCATTTGTGGGAAAAAGTATGATCATTTGATTGACTTGCATCTGATAACATGGAAATCTTGAAAGTGGAAGCACAAAAAAAGTTAGAAAAATGATACTCCCTTCAAAGCTGTCTTCTGAAAGTCTTCAACATGCTGTGCACATTGAGAAGGTGGGGAATAGAAATGATTGGGTCTTGCCGTCACGGTGGCTCAAGCCTGTAATCCCAGCACTTTGGGAGGCCGAGACAGGCGGATCACGAGGTCAGGAGATCGAGACCATCCTGGCTAACACGGTGAA